AAACCGGATAATAACGATTTTTCTGTCTAGTTTGCCGTAGATGCTCAGCAAACCGATCACCCAGTCGACGAACTGTAGAACCAATATAAAGTTTCCCGCATCTAATACATGAAATGCAATATACAACATTCATAGTGATACAACTGAACGGATATTTGACCTCAACATCTCCCTTGGGACCAAATATACGATTAGTGTCTGTAATAAAAGGACAAGTATTACACCTAGGACGATTACACGGGACAGAACCATATTTCTCAGGGTCTCCCCTTTCACCCGTATGCACCAATAGTTCATTGCAAGCCAAAAAAACAAACTTTTCTCAATTTATTCCCATTTAACGCAGAAATGGTAAGCTGGGTTACAAATAACCAAATTATTAGTTTAGGATCTCAGACCAAAGTATTATATATGTTTTTTTTTTTTGAACTTGTCATTAGCTTGTCTAATGTTTATATGGAGTTACCGTCCATTTACAGAGCACAATGAGTAGAGGGTAGTTTTCATTTATTTCTATATAATCATGAACTCAATTGATAAGGTGTCACTAACTTTGGGAAAGTCTGACATGACATTCACACCATTGAATTAACTAATTGGGATATAATTATATCTCACTAAAAGAAATATTCCCATGGTAGTGGTAATATACAAAAAGTAGCATGCTGGGTAGACATTTCAGTTTAGAATGACAACTGCAAAAAGAAACTTCTCTGAAATGAAATGGTGCAGAGAAACAGTTGTCACAAGAAATCTAAGTTCAACTCAGCAGTATACCACCATTCCATGTTTTAAGAGAATTAGCTGAAATTAAAGATGTGTTTAGAAATGTATCATGTTTCTATGTCCTGGATCTTACATGTGGCCTTCTATGTGAAAACATACAGAGTTACTATTTTTGTACTGTAAACATTCACATTACTGATGAAACTGTTGTTATTTTTGCACGACAGACATTTTGATCTCCATGGTTACATAACTGTCTATAAATCGTATTATTTAATAAATAGTTGGCATATATGTGAAATGTTGGTTGTTATGGTTTTTTGTTAATCTTTCTTAATAATCT